TAGTCTATCCATGCCCCCTTTTCCTGGAACCCCTGTCCCTCTGCTCTTGACAAGCCCAGCAGGATGCACAGTTGACATCCTGGATCTCTCTCCTAGGTTGGAGCTCCTGGCTCCCACACTTGTTTTTTTCTTGTTTACTAAATGAGATACATACTCCATTATCTTCCTAAACCAGGGTTCTTGGGAAATAAATTTCCTAAGCCTTTCTTTGCATGTCTGAAAATGTTTCTACTCCCTTGTCACACTTGGTCGATAGTTTGGCTGGATATGGTATCTAGTTGGTCATTTTCCCTCAGCATTTTGAAGCCATTACCCATTGAATTTTAGCATATGGTGTTACTGTAGAGAAGTTGAGTCCAATTCCGATAACCAGTCCTCTTTATGTAGTCTGTGTTTTCTGTCCAGATGTTTCCTGGGTCATCTCTTAAATCTGGGGTCTGATCCCACATTCATTTGCTGGGTACTTGGTGAACCATTTCACTCTAAATGAATTATTTGCAGTTCTTGTTTCTTTTATCAGCTCCTTCCCTCTCTCTTTCTGGAAACATTGGTTAGCACTTGGACCACCTGGATGGACATATCCTGTTGGAGAATGATAGGCAGAAAGCACCCTGGTTTGTGGGAGACCCTAGGCATCAGTGGAGGAGGAACTTTGCTCTGGGGCAGAAGGCCATCCAGTTTCCTGTTGGTGAGGATGGGGCAGGATTAGGTTAGCCTGATGGCAGGGCTGCTCAGCTCCTCGTCTCTGAGCTGTGAGTGCCTCCTGAGAGTGCATCATGTCTCATCTGAGCGGAAAGCTGCCGGATGTGGGGAGTGGGTCATCGAGAGATCTTCCCCACACCACGCCGGGCCCTCGTTTCCCCTTTTGGCCGACAACAAACCAGAACATAAATAGCCAATGTGTCTGGTGATTAACGGACAAAAGAGCCAAGTGAGAGAGATGGGAGTGGGGGCTTCTGGGCAGAGGGTGGCCAGGGCACAGGCCTGTGGCTGGAGATGCCTGCAGTGTCCTGATGGCAGAGCATGTGAGGTCAGGGTGGACGAGGAGAGTGGAAGTGGAGGTGGGGCACCTGAGTTCCTGAGCAGGCTGGCAGAGTACAGGTGTACGTGCCTGACAAGGGCTTCAGCCCCATCCAGGCAGGAGCAGGGCAGGAAGTGGGCAGTGACCCAGGGCTGCTGACCCCATAAGCAGGTTCCAGAATCCGCCTGGGCCCTTTGTCTCCACCACAGACCATGTCTAGGGGACAGAATCAGGGGCCCAGAGGCTAACAGAAAAAATGCGGCAGGCCCCATCCTAATATCCGTCCCAGTCACCCCAGCCATGGGCAAACCCCTGTCCCCATCCAGCCGGGCCAGTATCTGGGGATGCAGCAAGAAGGAAGGACATCTCACTCAGCACCCATGGGTCACACAAGGAGCTATGGGGTCAGTATGAGGCCAAGGGGGCACAGTCAGCCTCTCTGGCTCCACCAGAGCCCAGACAGGGACCAGAGGCTCATACGCACCTCCTGGAACCTGCCTTATACACCAGCGTAGACAGCGCCCTCAGCGACCCCATCCATGGGTCCTCAAGCCCTTAAACATTGAGACCTCTGACACAATCAGTCCGATTGTCTAACCAGGCACAGCTCACCGTGAGGCTTCAAGTCAGCCAGCATGGACTCCAGCCCCATACATAACTCACTGTGTGATGCTGAGCAAGTCATACACCATCCCTGAGCTGTGAACAGAGGAACCTGGAATACAGGTGGCCTTGCCCCTCAGGCAGGGCTCCCCTCCGTCCTGGCTATCTAGGTCCCAGCTGTAGATAGGTCACTGGGTGACCTTTACCTCTGTGAGCTGACATCCTACAACAGGAATGACTCACGGCCAACGGCTTCTGGGACGTCTAACCTAGCCTCCTTGGGGCCTCAGGCACCACACTGGGGCTGGTTAACAGCCTTCTTCCAGTACCCCAGGATCTGTGAGGGTCTGGGGGCAGCTGGAGCTCCACCAAGCCTGCCCCTCAAGATGGAGTGGTAGCAAATGCTGACTTGGGACCTCAGGCTGAAGTAACTGCCGGAGGACTGTGGGTGGGCCTGCCAACTGCCAGCACACTGGGAAGGGAGCGCCACTGTGTATGCCGTCCTTGACCTCAGAGGTTACCTTCGGGGCCAAGTTGAGCCCCGCGTTGCCTTGGATAGGGGCAGATAGACAAACCTCTCTGTCAGTTGACGTCACTCTGATTTTCTGTGTCCAGGAGAAACAGCCACACTAGCCTGTTTCTGTGGGAGAGGTCAGGGCCCCACAGGATTGGGAGAGGTCTGTGCAGCCCCGGCCTCCCTGTGGGGCCTGAGGACAGGATGCAGGAGCAGCTGGGCATGGCAGCAGACACCGTGTGTGCTTTCATCTTGCACTTGGGATTTATTTCTGTGTGTCTTTCTAGGCATGTCCTACGTCTGTTGTTCTGTGTCTGCCTGTCTCTTGGCCTCTTTAGAAGTGGTTTTCCTGGTCAGGATTTATAAATGTGTTACACTTGGTCTCTAAGAAATTGGCCCTTCAATGAATTGATCTCCCTGGTTCTGGCCACACTTACAGGCTCTCTCACTGGCCAGAGGCCACCAAACCAGGGTCTGCAGAGAGGAGCCTGGCCACCACCCCACCCCAGTGCTGAAGCCACTTGGGGCCTCTAGGCAGTTGTTTAACCTCTTGGGGCTGGGTGTCCTCCACTGGGGACTGAAGATTCTATGTGACGTGACCACCCTGAGACACCTTCTCTCTTGGGCCCCCTCACCCCTCTAAGTCTTGTCCCCAGGAAGGCACCTGCTTAGTGTACATACAGGAGTCAGCTCTGTGCCCACCCACTGCCTACCCCAGGGTGAGCTGAGAGGTCAGTGTGATGTCAGTGACAGAGGCCCAAGAGGGAGCCATGTCTATGGCACAAGGCTTCCCTGGGAGGTGGCATTGGCTAAGGTCTAGAGGATGAGCCAGAATCAGCAGATGAAGTAGAGAGGGAAGAGGCCACAGCCCATGCAAAGACCGACCCTGGGGTGTCTCCAGGAGCCAGGGCAAGGACCAAGAGGAAGTCCCAGCAGTCACAGTGCGGCTGGGAGGGCGCAGGTGGGCCTTTGTTCTTCTCCCAAGGGTGACAAGAGCCCCTGAAGTGTGTGCCACAGGAGCTGGGCCACAAGTTACTCCCTCTGGAGGGGCTGGAACATGAGCTGCTTGCAGAAACCAGAACAAGTGGCTACTGTCTGGGCTGGAGCATGGCACATGGGGAGGGTGCTTCTAGAGCAGATGGGGGCCTGTCAGGCTCACCCCTCGGCCTGGCCCAAACAGCAGCTGGGAAGGTGAAGCCCAGACCTGAGGTGGAGAGCAGACAGAGCTCAGGCTTTGGGGAGAGGTCTGGAGTCAACATACCCTTCCTGCTCTTTACTCCTTGCTAAGGAAACTGACTTCCTCCCACAGCCTTTAGTGGGCCTTCAGCCCCTGGTGTGCCTTCTGTCCAAGCCCTGTCCCCACTGTCTGTTGGAGCCCCTCAGTGGTAGAGCCTGGCTCTATCTGCCTTGCCCAGCCCCCAGTGGCATAGCACCAGCCCATGGGTGCCATGGGGACTGTCCGGTGGCCAGCAGCTGCCCTTTCTCTTCCTCAGCAATCTGAGAATAGCCAGACCAGTCTTTCCACTTGCCCCCTGGAGCCATCAGCTAGCTGCCTCTCCTGCTCCACAACCCGAGCCTTCTAAAGGAGGTGCTGCAGAGCTGCTACCCTGCGGTTTTCTGGCTGTGCTCCCCTTAGGCTGGGGTGTCCTCCACTGGTGCCCTGCCACCTTTGCCTTTGCCAGTTACTACACCCGCCCCCCAGGATCCCCTTACCCCTGGTCAGATCAGGGCAATGCTAGCAGACACTGCCCCCGAAGCTCTCCCAGAGGGTAGTGTGAAGGGTGGTGGATGAGTTGGGTACTCTTGTTTGGCCTCAACGAGGAGGGGGCAGTGTGGGTACACTTCCATGTTGCTGTCGTCCGGGGGTGTGCTGGGGGTGGGGGAGGTCCAGCCTGAATCTTCTCCCCGCAAGAGTGGTGTGTGGGGCCCAGTGGGTTCCTGCTGCCTGCTGTCAATCAAGGATATTACAGACTGCCCACCCCACCGTGCACATCCAGCCAGCTCAGCCAACCCTGGGGGAGGGGCCTCCAAGAATAGCTGCAGACCCCTCCAGGTGGACCCACACACACCAGGCCTGTCATAGGAACACCTGACAGCCGCTACCCTTTGGTGTCCTGGTGCCGTGCGTGGAGCCAGTCATAGCATGCCCTGCAGGGAAATGAATCATGCTTGGCTCCTGTCATGGGAAGGGGGTTGGGCAGAGCCTTCCTTGAGTCCTTTCTTCCATGGTATGGACACTCCCTTATGTATGGTGGGTAGGTAACATCTTGAGGGATGCCCGTCTCTGTGGGACTGGAACAGTTTTTGGGAGACAATACAAATTACAGATTAGAGCTCACCCTAGGGTCCTGAGCTGGGGGTCGGCTGGTGTGCCCGGTGGCAGTTCCTCACCCAGGCCTGCTCATGCAGCCTGGGACTCTGCGTGACTTCTGCTGAATGGCCCTTTGGGCAACACTGAGCCTTGCTTTTTAAACCACTGGTTCCAGGCGATGTGGGCTCTGGGGCCACCCTGCTCCACTTGCAGCAGGATAAAGCCAGGTTGTCCCTCCTGAGGTGTCAGCAGGCAGGAGGGTATGCCTGGGGCTTGGGGAAAGGCCCCCAGAGGAGACCCTGGGCCTTTGGGAGGGCACTGAGGCTAGGCACTGCAGGACACCATGATGGTCACACTGCAGCCATGATGGTGGCTAGGTTTCTCATTCAGAATTGGGCATTTTATATCTAAACATCAGAGGGGAAGTCATTTGTCTGGGATCCCAGAGTGTAGACCCCTGGCAGTCAGACTTGGGGTTCCAGCCCCCTCCCTCCTTCACCCCATAACGATCCCTGCACCCTGGCCTTACCTCCTGTCGCATCTCATTGCAGGAAGTTCTACTACATCACCCTGCTGCGAGACCCAGTGTCCCGCTACCTGAGTGAGTGGCGGCACGTGCAGCGGGGGGCCACATGGAAGACATCTCTGCACATGTGTGACGGGCGCACGCCCACACCCGAGGAGCTGCCGCCCTGCTATGAGGGCACGGACTGGTCCGGCTGCACGCTGCAGGAGTTCATGGACTGCCCCTACAACCTGGCCAACAACCGCCAGGTGCGCATGCTGGCCGACCTGAGCCTGGTGGGCTGCTACAACCTGTCCTTCATCCCCGAGGGCAAGCGGGCCCAGCTGCTGCTGGAGAGTGCCAAGAAGAACCTGCGGGGCATGGCTTTCTTCGGCCTGACGGAGTTTCAGCGCAAGACGCAGTACCTGTTCGAGAGGACATTCAACCTCAAGTTCATCCGGCCCTTCATGCAATACAATAGCACGAGAGCGGGCGGCGTGGAGGTGGACGAGGATACGATTCGGCGTATCGAGGAGCTCAACGACCTGGACATGCAGCTCTATGACTACGCCAGGGACCTCTTCCAGCAGCGCTACCAGTACAAGCGGCAGCTGGAGCGCAGGGAGCAGCGCCTGCGCAGCCGCGAGGAGCGCCTGCTGCACCGCGCCAAAGAGGCGCCGCCTCGCGAGGACGCGGAGGAGCCGGGCCGCGTGCCCACCGAGGACTACATGAGCCACATCATCGAGAAGTGGTAGTGGCGGCCCCGCGGGGAGGCCCCTGGGATGGTCGGCACGGGGAGGTGAAATCAGACAGGCAGCGCACGCGGGCCTGCCCAGAACTCTACGGGAAGAGAGTCCCAGATCCACTCACCAAAAGGCAGATGCGTCCTGAACAAAGATCAGGGAGTGGGACTGGTGGCCCAGTGGAGTCGGTTCTCACTGTTTCTTCCCAGCCTGGGATCTGAGAAACCAACCGGTGCCGCCCACTGGCTCAGCGGAAAGCGTGCTTGAAGGACGCCCCAGTCAGGCCGGCACAGACCAGGGGTAAGGGGGCGTCCCTGCTCTCCAGGCCCTCACCTCACTGTCACAACAGCCGAGAGTTTGAAGACAAGGAAAAGGCAGTGGAGCCGAGCGTGGGGAGTGGCCCTGCCAGACCGGGAATGTATCCCACGCCTGCTATGCATATATCTGCTCTCTCCCTGCATAAGTCAGTAGGGGTTTGTTCCCCAGGCTCAGGCCATCCCAGCATCCCCTTGGCCTCCAGTGGCTCCATTGCCCCAGGCCTGTATGAAGCCCCCTCCCCAGGAACACAGGCAGCCATTTGAGGTATTGTCAGGAAAGGAGCTCCACGCTTGTCTGTCTTCAATGTCAGTGCCACCTGTATGAAGTCAAGAAGACTAGTCCAGCCCCTGGGTAGCCCCCTCCCCTCTCTAGCTTCCTGCTTTGGGTCAGGAGATTAGAGGACACCTCCTGGCCTGCCCGCTTCCATTTTCCACAGTCCTCAGACTGAGGAGGCTGTGAGGGGATGGGCCCCACACTGCACTACCCCCTGCCCGCTTTCCCAGGCAGAGAGCATCCACGAGTGGAAAGACTGTGTCCGAGCTGGCCTTTGGGGTGACCACCCAGTTAGACCAGCTCAGACAGGAAGGTGGATGGAAACTGAGGGCCTCCTTGCCCCATTTTCCTTTCTGACCCCTTGGACTTGTTAGTGGAATGCCACAGCCCCAAGCCATCACTTGGACATTTATTCAGGGCTCATACCCCATGGCTCCCACCACCTGATGTATAAAAGTCCAGGTAAGCCTCCACTGGCAGGAACACACGGACCACAGCTGCTGCCCATGAGCCATACCTCAAGGCACAGTGGTTCTGGATGGCCAAGAAAGGGGACTCGGGCTTTCAGATTCTCAGTAGGGTTGCAAGGAATGGCTCTGGATGCCTCCCTGATATGCAGATTCACAGCCCTCCCCGCCCTGAGCTCTCCCTACATTTCCCTGCCCTACCCTTCCCCCACCCCCCACCCCCCACCTCCAAGCTGGTCGTGTGCTGTTTCCAGCAGCCCTGCAGAGTGGAGAAGCCATGTTACATATCCGTTGTAGACACTTTCCCCAAGTCCATTCTCTCCCATGCTCAAGGAGGCCAGACCAGTGCCTCATTTGGGTGTGCCCTGTATTCTGGGGTACTGGGTGTGAGCCCCACACCGTTGGGGATGGGTGTCCCATCTCTTCAGAAAAGGAAGCACATGTGCCCAGAGGACCACGGACCACATGGCAAGAGGCTGGCAAGGGCAGCAGCTTCATAGGCAGATCCTGCCAGCAGTTCCCTGCTCCTGGCTCCCTCTGCCATCCCAGCTGTCCCACCAGAGAGTGAGGAGTGGGGGAGCAGGGAACCTTCCATAGCTCAGGAAGAGCCAAATTGGTGTCAAATGAAGGGGCTGCCCAAGAGGAAATGGCTTTAGTCTTTGCTTGTCTGGCATAAGGGCCCCACCTTGCAGCTTCCTACACTGGCCACTTCATCTTGTAGTCCAAGAGCAGAGCAGTCAGCAGGCTGTGATGGGCACCGTGCCAGCCCCACCCAGGACCACCCCCAGGAATGGGCATATCATGCTGAGGAGGTGAGCCCCCAGGTGACTTAATGACTCTTTCAAAGGGAAGTGAAGGACAGCGTGGGGGTGGGGGATCTGCTCTGATTCTCAGCATTGGGGCAAGCATGTTCCAGGGAGAAGGGTGATATGTTCACAAGAGCTCTGGGGGCTTGTGACCTCCAGTCGGGAGGTGGCCGACTCCAAGGTATAAGTGGAGAGCCCACGCCCATTCTGCCTGGGGCCTGGCTCAAGAAGATGGCTCTCCTTACGGCGGGCCTGCGCATAGGCTCTGTTCTGTACATATTGGAATGTTTTAACTTATGGCCTGTTGTCCCAGTTCACACGGAAACACGGGTCTCTCCTCAGTTGCTTTGCTGCATCTAGAAAGCAGTCCTTCTCCGGGCAGCACCCAGGCTGAGCTGCCCAGAAATGCAGTGCCCCTCAGCCCCTTGGGGCTCCAGTCTGGCACTTTCCACTTAGGCCACCTGCTTTGGGGTGAAGGTTCCTGGTGCCTACAACATCTCCGATGCCAGGGCTGGGCTCCACAAACAGCACAGGGCAGCCTACCCAGGGGCCCTTCCCAGGGCTGAGAGGACAGAAGCAATCACGTGGGGAGCAAACCACTCACTTCCCACACAGGCCTGCAATGTCCCCTCCTGGACGAGGAACGGGGGACGACAGAATTGTCCGAGCAATGAGTCTATGAACTTTTGGGGAACTGGAAGTGTTTAACTTGAACCCAGGAACGTTTAAAGCTTTATTTATTTATAGCTTCTTAAAAAAAAAAAAAAGTGTTAAGAAATCTTTTGGTTATTCATACAAAAAAATGAGTTGATGGAAAAGCAAGTCATAATCATCTAATTGTTTTTGTCTAGGGCAAGAGTGAATGTTAGCAGATGAAATAAACCCTGAAAAGGAGCCGCTGGTGTGCTGTGGTCTGTGGTGACATAGTCCACATGGCGTGGCAGGGACCTTCTGGTTTGATTTTCAAAATGATCTGTGAGCACAGGATCCAATGCAGGAACAGAGGGAGTTCCCTCAGGTGCAGGGCCCATAAGGGACAAGTTAACACTGTTTCACTAGGTAGTGCTTTGTGACAGTAACAGATGCGATCGTCATCACCACAAAGAACAATTTACTAATCGCCTACAGAGCTTGAAAATGTGAACTCAGCCAAAAGTCAGGGTGATAGAGGCAGATATCACCTGCTTGCTATCTCAGTGAACTCTTCAAGTGGTTCAGACCGCAAGGCCTGAGGGGGTCTCCTTCTGTACCTTCCTAGTATCTACCTGGAATCTGCCCCCATGAAGTCCATGTGGGACAAAGACTTGTGGGGGGAGCCAGGTGTCTGGGGCTTCTGACCCATGCTGCCTGCAGAGAGAGAAGGGCAGGCCCCCCAAGCGAATGAAGGACAGAGCAGAAACCCTGGAAATAGTGTCATAGCCAGTACCCACATTGCCCCCCTTTCTGGATCTGTGTCTCTTACATGGGGGGACAGGCAGACATAGCTGCCCCTTATACCCCACCCTCAGATCCAAATACAGAGCTCTTGATCATCTAGTCCCCAAAGGAGTGTCCCTTTAATAACAAAGCAGTCTTGCAAGGGAAGAGCAGAGATAGACTCCAGGTGGGGCCCAGTGTGGAGAGACCTACACAGAGACCACTCCGGGAACACCTCATTTGGGCCCCTCAGCCCGCTCCTCCCTCAGGAACCCATGATGGAAGGGCCCTCCACTGGGGGGCTCCATTCAGCTCTGCAGGGCCAGTGTGTGATTGTTCACACGGAGGCAAAATAAGTCCTGAGGACACCTCCCCCTAAATGGGGGTTTTCATCCTCCTACATTTATTAAAAAGAAGACCACTTCAAAGTCTCCTGAGCCTGAGGCCCAGGAGGCTCCTGGTCCCTGCCCAGCCCCTTATCCATCTCTGCACTCAATGTAGCCTCTGTGTGTCCCTCCACCCCCCGTGGCCTTCTGCCTCCCACACTTCTGGGCAAACCTGCTTGCGCCTTGGGTTTCTGGGTTTGGATAAATCCCCCTCCCCTCGTGTCCAGCTGCTGCCCTGCCCTACCCATCCCACCCCTACTTCCCTTGTTGTCCCTCCTTCACACCCGAAACTCCAGCTGTGACCAGCAGCTGCCACTTCCTGGGCTGGGCCTGCCACCTACATGCTTTCCCTACAAGCCCTTACCCTCACATGGCAGAGTGCCTGGTTCACCTCTCTTTCTAGGGGAAGTAGTCCTGCCCCGCCCCACCTGGGCCTGGACCCCTTTGTGGCGGCAAAGAGAGGAGCTGGTCCTCTGGCCTCCCCATGCTCCAGACCAGAGCACTCAGGCTCTCTGGGGGGCTGTCGGCCAACCCCTAGGGAAGGGAAGCCCACAGTCCCCTCCAGGGGCATGCACTTGGTCTCAGGGACCTCCAAGACTCAGAGACCTGGGGAAGGCACTAGATGTATCCATGTCATGGGGACCCTTTCCCCAGCAGCCTTCCTGGTGGACCAGGTCCCCTTCCCACAAGCTCCTACCCTAGTGGGTCAGGGTAGGCACTCAGACCCCTTGACAAGGCCTGTCTTGGAGGGCTACACCTCATGGTCCAAGGAGACCCCTTGCTGTGGGGAGCCTGATCTTGACTCCCTTCCATACTATAGCACAGAGAAACCTTTAGAACAGCTTTGTTGTCAGATCGGAGTTAGGATTCCGGCCAGGGCACTGACCTGCTATTAGCCCTGCTCTGTGAAATGGGAAGGCTGCTGTAAGGATCCACCCACTTCTGGAGAAAGAACCAGGCCTGGGCGGGCCAGACCTTGTGCGATCCTTCATCTCTGTCTCCAGTCCTAACCACAGACAAGCTGCTTGGAGGGCACTTGTTAAAAGCAAAGTCCTGACCCTCCCCCGACCGACTCAGTCACATCCACTGCGCTGCCCACCAGTAGAGCAAAGCCGCCTGGGACCCATCCTCCTATGAGCACACAGAAGGACTACCCCTTTCTTCCTTTTTTTCCCCTCAAATGACCTTGACAACTTTTCAGGTCCCCCACCGGCCAGCCCCATCTATCTCCAGTTGGTCAGCACCATCTTGTTTTCTGCCCCTAGGAGTTGGGTGGGTTACTCAGCCTTCTGTCCCACCAAACAAATACAGAAGGCCCTCTTGACCCACGCAGCTGGGCTTCCACCCCTCTCCATTCCCAGCCCAGCCGACCCAGGCCTGAGGCCTTCGCAGCTAGGAACTCGGGTTTCAGATAGGACCTGGGTTCCAGGGCAGGCCAAATGGAGGGGTCTGAACTCACACAGCACTGCCCAGACTTGCCTCCAAACATGCCTTTTTAAAAAAAATAGCTCACATCCTGACTTTGTTCCCATTCCCTCTAAAGTGTGATTTGATCTTTTAAAATTTGTCCATTTTACTTAAGAGTCTCTCCTGGTTAGAACCAGAGTGTTAAAGTTCCCCCTGTCCTCTCTGGGTGGCATTGGGGACTAGGGGACATTCCTGTCACCCAGTGTTGGGTGGCAGGATGCTTACACATGGCCCTCTGCCATCCCTCTGCCACCTTGTCAAGAAGGTCATCTGATCTTGGCCAAGACTACCAGCCTTTGTCTTCACTGGCTCCATTGCTGTCCAGGGCGGCCAGAACTCAGTGTCACCCTCTTGGCTTGGGTGAGGCACAGAGATCCCTCCTGGGGTCCAGTCTGTCCCTCCTGATGCTCTAATGACAAGCCCCCTCCTCAGCTCTCTTGGCCCTGCAGCTCCTCCCCCTGCCACAGGCTCCTTCCCCCACCACCATGTGTATGGGGTTCTTAACCTCCCCACCAGACAGGTTCCCCTAACCTACGCACCAGCCGCAGGAGGCCTGCTTTCTGTTTAAATTTACCACACTGCCATTTCCAGGCCACTGCAGCTGACCTTCCTGCAGCTGGGCTGAGTAATGTCCCCCTCTTTCTGCTTCCTTCTTAGCCCATCCACGCTGTTTCCAAGGCCTGGCCCTGGCAGAGGCCATGGGTGGAACACTGAGGCCCGGGATGTCTCCCCTTCCTCTCTGCCTGAGGGCTCCCTGCCCACAGTGCCCCTGCAGCTTCTCACCATCTCCTCTGAGGAGCCCATCCTCACCGAACCCATCCTCCTGCCCTGCTCTCTGGCTCTTCCGAACCCTGGGATTTCTCTGGAAAAGGAAGTCCAGGGACTGTGAGAAGCACTTCTTTCTTAAACAAAAGCTAAGCATTCAAGACTCAACCTCTCCAAGACTGAAGGAGCCAGGCAGGCTCCTCGAGGCTCGGCTGGCTGGCAGTGCAGCTTTGTTCTGGATGGTGCTGCCCTTCTTTGGAGCCACAAAGCCGGATGCTGGGCCCCGGGAACTCCAGACAGTCTTATTTGTGAGTTGCTGAACACATTAGCTCAGTGCTTTCACAGGGCCATCTCGACACAGGGCAACTGCACACACTGCAGGTGCTTGGTGCAAGGGGCCCTGGGCTCTAGCAAGAGGGGCTTCCAGAGGAATTAGGCCTCCAGTTGAGTAACTCCCACATTGTTCTTTAGGAAGCAGCTTGAAACGCAGCCCAGCCTGTGCTTCCAGAGCGGGCCGAGGTACTGCTCAAGACCGGCTTGGAGTCTCTGCACATTCTTAGTCAGCACTCCACACAGGAAGTAATTTTTCTACTCCAAAGGATTTAAAACGCGGGCATCACAGCAAAGCCTGCTTGTTGTCTTCCCCTCCTTCCTTAGCAATAGAAACCCCACGTATCAGTGGGAACACACCTAGTCAGGGTCAAGACCACACTTCCCAGCCCCTCACAGTGAGATGTGGCTATATACCACTAAATGCTGGCCAACAGTGCAAGAGGAGATGACACTCACAGCTTCGGGAAACACCACTGAAAGAAGCAGTGTGCCCTTCTCCCTTCCATCCTCCTACCTAATGGCGCTAGATGAGGGTGTGATGGTTGGAAGTAAAGCAGCCATCTTGAGTCATGAAGCAAAAGCCTTGTGTTGAAGATGGCAGAGCAATAAGATAGGTCCCTGATGATTATGGAGCCACCCTACCAGCTTTGGGCTGCCTACCTGGACACTTCATTCACATAGGAGAGAAATAAATATGTGCTTTAGTTAAGCCGCTGCTGGTTGGGGTTTCTGTCACTCTCAACTAAGCCTAATCCTAAGAATGATGGGCCCCATGGCATGGCCACCGAAGATGGTGGGCCTACAAAGGAAACACAGCTGGAGGCGGCAACTCAAGTGACAACACCTCGTCCCACCAGCTGCAGGGGTTTATCCACTTACAGCTCCTGGCGTCGTACACATGGATGTGTTACAATGCAGAATAATACCCTTTTGCACTTTTTGAATTTTGAAACACGTGAATGAAATAGGTGGCTGAAAATAAAAACAAAAGCAAATTGGAACAGAACTGCTAAATTCATGATTTTCTCAGAATTCAAAGAACAGGGAGAGGCTGGAGGAATAAAGGAACTCCAACTTTATCTGTAACATTTCATGTGTTATAGTTAGAAAACAGGCAAATAAAAGAATATAACAGCTGTCACTGCTGGGTGGTGGGTCCATGGGGGGTTGTTGTGGTATTATTCTTTGTACTTCTCTTTATGGTTTTATGTTTCTCAAAATAAAAACACCGATGTGACAAGCCTACACGTGAGGCAGTGCAGGAGCTCAGGCTGCAACTCAGGATTCAGGCTCCTGAAACAGGAAGGGAGCCAGACAGACAGTCAGGCCCAAGAACCCCTAGGCTGAGATGTGGGGCTGAGGGACGTGGCTTTGAGCATTCATTTATGTCATTTTGTTGGATGAATTGTAGCGTGATCATGCCGTTCCCCAGTGTGGGCCCAGTCTCCCTCATACATCCGTTTGTCCCCTTCACAAGAGCCCCAAGTATAGGCAGGGTCCCAATTTGGCCCCTCTCACCACCTGAAG